GCCCTGCTCGCCCGACTTACTGCCGAGATGGTCCTCCTCCGCTATGAGGACAACACTCTGTCCAATCTCAGTAGAGCCTATCATAGCATCGTATAAGACGCCTCATTGTGGTCGTCAGGGGATATGCCAGCAGGCCGCCTGTTGGAGGTCCTCGTCCTAGTGGCCAATCTGCCAGAACCTAACGCTGCCACTGTGATGCTCCCGTGGTATATGTCCACCCTTCTAGTCGCTATCATGACCCGCTTCAAAAGCACTGTTGATGACTCCATCACCTTGAGGCTGGTCCATCAGCGTGGATCGTCCGTAAGGATAACAGTGGTAGTTCCTGGTGATGTAAGATACAACTACCACTGTAGTAGCTGCGGCTATGCTCCTATTGTTTCAGCTCAATGCCTGTGTGGAGCGCGTACCAGGATGGATAGCATTTCCTGGGCCTCAAGGCAAGCCTACTGTGACCACCAGTGAGTCCTCATCGTTCTTAGCTTGGGCTCATCCCCTGCCATCAGCTCTCGATCTGAGGAGAGTGATGGACCCAGCAGCGTTGGCGGTCTCTGCTACTGACCTCAACGTCAGACTCATGCAGTGGAGGGTGTTGCCTACCCTAGACCCAGACCGGATCATGAACCTGAGGTCAGCATCCTCCTTGATCTCCTATACTGTGTTCTTCTAGATGCCTCCTTATCGGAGCTGGAACTCTAGGTTGTGCTGTGAGCCGGACCCTACTAGGGTGGGGTGTGAAGAACATAACCTTCGTGGACAGTGGCCATGTGGGTGATAGTGCTCCTATCAGACTGTCATTCGCTCGGTTTTAGGTGTCCTTCAGTAACCCAGCTCGGCAGAATCTCTTTACATACGAGGATGCTGTAGGGAAGCGTCCTAAAGCAGAGGCAGCAGCAGCCAGACTCGGCGAGATCGTTCCCGGTCTCAACGTTAGTGGAGTTCAGCTGGAGGTATCTACCGTGCTAAGTGATCGTATGGACACACAACCATGTGAGGTTCCGATGCCTGGCAAAAGCACCACTGGAGGGATTGATGACATATCGAGGGCGGTTGAGAAGCTGGACTCCCTCATAGCTGGCCATGATGTTGTGTTCCTCCTTACAGACAGCAGAGAGAGTCGGTAACGTGACGGCTGCTGCTGCTGGGGTTTGTGGATATAATCATCTTCAGCTGGTTGCCTACGGTGATGGTTGCCTCCGCTGGAGCCAAGACAAAGGGAGGCCCGATTGGAGTATCGGTCGCGCTGGGCTTTGACTCCTACTTGGTGAAGGTACAGTCTTATGGAGGTGGGTACGTCTCTCTGGAGAACATGATAATGTCTTTTTGGTAGATCGTAGCTCTGCCTGCTACTTCTGCAACGACGTCTCGGCCCCGAGCGACTCTACGTCCTTCAGGACCCTGGACCAGATGTGTACTGTCACACGGCCTGGTCTTGGTAGTAGTTGTAATAGCCGCTATTCTATGCACCTGAGCCCTCCTCAGCTGCTATAGCCTCTGCAACGGCGGTGGAACTTGTTGCTACTCTAACTCAACATGGCGGCTTCGACCAGATCCGAACGGTCAATGACGATGGGGGCAATGCGCTTGGGGCTACTCCCGATCAGATACGGTGGGGATGAGCAACATAGGGCTGTCGGATGCATCTCGTCTCAGGGGATTCCTCGCCAACTGGCAGCAGGTTCCTGCGGTCACCCAAGCTTTCGATCGATGCGTGGCCTGTTCGAATGCCATTATTGCCGAGTACACTACCAAGGGAGCGTCCTTCGTTTTGGATGCTATTGTGGATGCTTCGGTGAGCTAAGCTTCACCTTGACTCAATGCTGCGTGACTCATCACGAGTGTACAGATCCTTGGCGAGAAGTCCGGCCTGACGGAGATGCTCGCAGCGGCAGAACGGGCTGAGGACGACCTCCTTGCGTTCGGCATCGACGACGAAGACTTTTGAATGTTGCTTTCACATGACCCATCCTTGCTACAGCTATTGAGTCACTCAATTGGAGCGTCTCATGGTCAGATATGGAATCGCCCCGAGGGCTAAAGAAACATCGTAGTTGAACTTCAACTACGATGTCTCTTCAACTGTTGAAGAATCATTCGCCAAAAATGCGTAAAGTTCGTCCGCATATCTTAGGCTGCCCGAGTTCGGCGAGTCAGTAAAGAGCTACTATCGCACGTATACATGGTCAAACTGGATTGAAAGCTAGGAAAATAAAGCTACCAGACAGCTGGCCCAGCTGAGCTGGGGTGCTGACAATGGCGAACGCACTGTCCTTCTCCACAAACTTTTCAGTCATGATAGTTTTCACAACTAGACTGCGAGCAGTAACCGCCTTGGTGTAACCGAGTGATATAATAATCAATGTCAGTCGTGGCTGCAAGTCGATCAATGTCTTCCAGAGCATTTTCTGGTAGGCAATTCTTCGTTACATTCTTCGCTTTTCCTGTCAATGGTGTCGCGGGCAGTGCACTTGCGTGACTCAGTGTTATTCACGGCTTGTTTTCGATGATTCGCTTGCTTCTTTCGGCTACTTCCATCCTAGTCGTACGTCGTCTATTCCGGGCTCCCCATCTATCCTGACTGACGCTTCTAATACTTATAAGTGGCTCTTTTGATTTGCGGTGTTCATGATTTGATCACACTGGGTAGATGTATCATAACTCTTACGGGATCGATGCGCTAAAAGTTCACGTGAACGATGCTGCTCTACCACATCGATCACCTTCCTGCAACGGTTACATACTACATCCTGATGAAGAAGATTAACATACTCGCTGCAGCGAGCGTGTCTCCTGCCGCGTGGCATGAATTACAACAAACCCTTCGGGAGGCGTGTCCAGCCGGAAGGATCAGTCTGCGACGCTGAGCCTCCCGTGAAATCAGCGAAAAGGAACCACTACCCTGATCGTACCACAAATCTACGTCGTCACAGCTTAGCAACGACGGCGAATAGCTAGCAGAGTGGGCACTCGCTGCTGAAAATACCGAAAAGACGTATGGGAAATCAAGTCAGTTGAGTTTCTCAACTTGAGAAATCGTGTGATTGTAAAAAATTTGTCAATCACGACCGGCATTATCCTCCGACTCGTCTGGATGCACAAACCCTATGCGCGAACCCTGTGGGTGCGTGAGACTGACCATTACGTCTCCAGCGATTGGAGACGTAATGGTCAGTCTTGTGACAAGACTCTTGTCCGAGAGATTATGTGTTTCAGATTCGGCCTGTAGTAGGTTTAGAGGTTGCAGGAATCTGTGTTATTTTGAGTGTGAGTCGGTTCGAGATGTGAAATGGCTAAATAGTCGGTTATGTGGAGCTGTTTGGGAGGAAAACCTCAGTCGTTGGTAGTGTGTCTAGTCTCACTTTGTATCCGACCTTGAGGTTTGGGCCAAGTTCGCTACTGCAAAGTAGTTAACCATACCATTGCAACCCAACACCAAGCAAGGGTTTGTAATCGATCAACATGGCGAGCGACATATACATGCTCTGCTACAATCTCGCTCACTTGCGAACGACATGGTATCGTCAGACTCCCGAGAGGGGGTAGCTTAGTTGCTACCTGCCTGTAACCATCTCCGAAGTAGTACACCTCTCTACAGGGTTTTCGCTTTATTTGGAACACATCATGCTATCCAGCATCGGCTATTGCGTCGTCGCCCTGATGATTAGTACCGTTGCATCATCAAGTCCGGAGAATATCACCTGCCAGACTATTTGCGACACCCTCGCTGACTGCTCGTATTCCACTTGTAACACAACTGCTGTCCCTTACTACTGTACTGGTATCTACGTTGGTAGTAATGGTACGGTCGTTTACTCGGATCAAGAACCCGAGTTCTACTCTCAGCATCTCCTCTGCCCTTTTGCTCAAACTCTTCTTTCCCACACTCCTCCAAGCATCGCAGATGAGCCCCATCCAGGGTGCCCTGATAAACTCGTAGACGTGGACGTGTTCTGGTGGAGTGAATGGCCCACTCTTCCTAGCAATAGCTATGATGTATATGCTGGTTATTATCAACGTATGTTTCGTCTATTATCGACCAACTGTGTTTACATGCGGGTTAAGAAGCTCATCCTCCGCGTGTTGGATCCACAGTACCCTCCAGCTGAAGGGGTTGACAAGGTGTGGTTTCCCAACAATGATGTGACTCAGAGTGCTATGTTTACTGAGCTCTTGATTAAATTGAAAGACACGTCGGTTGAAGAAGTGGAGTTCTTACCTTATGTTTTTGATGAGCATTCACGATCTTCGTGGAGGAAATGGTCCGCCAATGGACGAGAAGTTATGGCTGGTGTCTATGCTTTTGCCGCAGAGTACAACAAGCATCTTCCTACTGGCGTTAAGATCACTGGAGTTACAGTAGACTACGAGGAACTCAATAGGGATCCTACTGAGTATGCTATGCTCAGCGATCCCACAGGTGAGCGCTTATTTAAAGGTGGTCACACTGATCTTAAATTTGGAATCGCCTTAACTCGAGGGAAAACCGAGGAGATTGTGTCCTTCTCATGGACCGATAACTTTTACTTGGAGATGTACGACTTGGGATACAACTTCTCCCCCTTCCTCCGATATAAAAATCAACCAGTGCAGTTGATACATTTCCTAGCCGAAGATGTGCTAGGACCTAATCTCATTGAGGCCTACAACAAGCATCATGACAAGGTCAATCTTATGTGGTCAATTCAATCTAAGGGCATACCGTGTATGTATCCACTACCGGGACCGAACCTGAGATGTGGAATCAATACGGATTTTGGTCATTGGAACACCTCCGCTTTCAATACGTTTCTAGGAACAGTATTGCCAATTCTAGGAACGATGAATGTCCGTCAAGGCGTTTATCAAATGGATTTCTATCCACTTGACTGGGCTCCGTCTGAACTCAAGGGATGTTATAGTGACGCGTGTCAATGATGATATCAGAAGGAATAGTCTTGGTTCTTTTCGAACGGCTCGTCCGGGTCTTGTCCGCTCGTCGTGAGAAGATATAACAGTGAATTCCTCCACTAAAGTGGCCGCGGATTAGGGTTGGCCCTAGCGATCGTAGCAACTTGCTCGTTCGCCTATTTTCCAGATTTTCTAATGTCAAGTCAATACCGTCATTTGTCGAGTTGGTAATGGGACCCTTTATACAATGTAATGTGTTCGGGAATATGAGCAATGTCCAGGGGTGAGAAATCACTTTGCGAAGGTCGTTCACATCTGCCCAAAATCGATGCTTTTAGCATCATTTTACATTAACACCAATGCTTTCTACCCTGTCTCGGCATCTTGCTGCTGCTGCTTCCACAGCGGCGTCCGCTCAAGCCGTAATGACGGTGACGCCAGCTGCCGCATCAAGAATTAAAGATCTTATGAAGTAGTGAATGTACATCGTTATCGTTTAGAACTAGCTATTCGTTCGGTTTATTTCGCCTACAGTAGGCACACAGTTGAAACACTGAGTAACTCAGTGCTTCTATCTGATCAGTGATCACACCTATCAGTGATCGACTAAATCTGTTGATATCGCCCGTTCTCATTCAGTAAGAAGCACGACGAATCGATCATAGGGCTCAGAGTAGGTCTAGCGAAGAAGGGATGCGAAAACATGAGCTACACCATGAACTATGCAAAAGTAAAGCCGCCTCCTTTCTTGGCCTCTTTTGTCATTGCTTCTTCAGGAGATCGGAAAATTAGATGAGGTTGTGGAGAGTGAAGGAGTAAAGGTTGTTGTGGATTCCAATGCTTTGATGTACCTCATAGGTAGTAGGGTCAGCCATCACTCATGCACCCCTCCGCAAATTCTTAGCATATCCGGTTTTTCGACTCATGCGCCGTCACCTCAACGAGTACCATGTCGCAGTTCAGGGAGGTATGCTCCTGTGCTTCACATGATATAACCTCGAAGCTTTAGGGTCTAGCTCTTCGTGGTTGGGGAGAAGTCGAAAAGTGGTTAAAAATTTTTCTAAAAATTGGAAGTTATTTCATGTGAGGCATGAGAGCATACCTCCCTGAGCCGCAGGATGGTACTTTTTGAGGCGACTGTGCGCGTATTGAATACCGAATATGCTAAGCATTTGTGGAAGGGCGTACACTGTTTGTTTGAAGACTCGTATTGTATCCATGTGTTTCGCTCATCTGTTGTTCGCAAGATTAGTGATCGAGAGTTTGAGATCGCTGTGAACTCCCCCTGTAGGTACGGAGATGGATTATGTTGACAACGACCTAGCTTCAGAATTTGTGTTCAATAATCCCAACCAGAAGTCCTCCTGCGGCTGCGGCAAGAGTTTCAGTGTATAATATCGACGCATTATATTAGACATCGCTTTATTCATACTTAAAAGCTCCGTAGTTCAGGAAATGAACATACCACAGTATACAATGTCACTGTTATTATTGATCGGGAACTGTGCTGTGTTATAGTCAAGGAGAGTGTTGCCGTCTTCGTTCAT